AATAACGGAAAAATGACTCCAAAAGAGAAAGGGGTCCAGCTCCCTAGCAAGCAAATGGTGCACCTCCTGGCATCCTCCTTGGGCCGTTGCAAGTCCCTGGTGGATCCCTCCCTGTATGAACTTCAGAAGGAGAGAGCTGTCCTTTGAGAATACGATGGACAGAAGCACCAGCATCCTGGGAGTGCGGCCTGGTGGTATGCCCATTATCAGCTGCTAAGCAAAGTGTGTTTATTTTAGCCCAAAGGCACTAGTGACTAAGATGGAAATATTCTGAAATTGGTGCTTCAGTGGCCTCGGGGTCATCCTGCAACAGATGAGATAGCTAAACAGATCAGAGAGATGCGTTAGAGATGAGCATAAAAGCAGAGCTCAAACCTCCTGTCAGGAAAAGGAACAAGAAACCTCGTAACAAGGAAAGAAAATGGGATGAGCATAAAAGCACGGGGCTCAAACCTCTTGTCAGGAAAAGGCACAAGAAACCTCGTAACAAGGAAAGAAAATGGCAGGGTTGAAATGCTGGAGAATTTTAGTTGTCTGAATTTTTCAGGGGAGAGATTAGCTGAATTCAGGGTGAAGTGAAAGTGAAATATGGCCAGGAGCCAGCAGCTTAAGATGTGTACTAGAGCGATTGATCCTGAAAGCGGCAAACCACACATTAATATTCCTGGCTTTGTCAGAGGATATCGTCTCTGTAGTCATCATGATGCATTTTTAAAGTAGACAGTGATCAATATGTGATTCCTTCCTAAGTTCTCGGTTCTTCCTCTGGGTGAAATTACAGCGGCATCTTCCGTGTTGAAGCGAAACCCCTGCCAGCCTCTGCAGGCACACAGTCACAAGTACCCCTTTTGAGAGGGACCTGTTTAAGGTAAGGTGCTGTGCCATGGCAGGGGGCTGAGCGCAGGGACAGGAGCCACTTCCACCCCGTTCCATGCTGTCGGGCCGTCCCAGTATGGTTTGTTTTACTGGTGCAGCTGCAGCCAGGACGTGCAATTTCCCAGCTCCGCCGGGACAGTCCTCAGCACAGCCTGGGGAAGTGAGCTTTTCCTGCATCTTGCTTTCCCATGTGTAGGATGAGGAGATGCTTCCTCGCCTCAGATGGGCGGTGGGAGGAGAAGTCCATCCTGATGTGGGCAGGGAGAGGCTGAAGAGCAGCAGAGGAAGAAGTTTGGCTCTGTTTGCATGCTCCAGTGACGGCTGCAGGGGTACCTAGTTACTCGCTTTTTTGGGCAAATTTCCATTTCCAGGGTCTTAAAGAGAGTTGTGGAGGGGAGCTAAAAATAGACAAAATGACCACTTCTTCCCTAAAGTAAGTAATTAAATCACACACCCCCTTTCCCTCAAAGTGCTCTTGGTGTCAGCACCTCTTCCCCACGGGCCCATGTAACGCCAACAGCCAAATTATAAATCCTTTATAAAGGGGTTTGTCCCTCTGCTGGGTGAGTTTGCAGCAGAAGCCCGGACACAGCACACCGGCTGTGGCACCTTCTCTGAAGGTCTGTTGCCATCAATCTTGACCTGCTAATGTCACAGGTTTAAAAATACACCGGCTGCAGAATGGCCGGTAAATGCTGATTTTGTCACCGTGGAAGAATGACATGGTGGCAGCGATCCAGACCTCGTCCCCTCTGCTGCAACGGCTGCTACTCGTGCACCGGCCATCACCAAAGAGATGTCTCCTCATTGCGTGGCTCCAGGCGTGTGTTTCTCCTGACCCCAGCTAGCTTGTCTTTAGGGAGGCATTTTATAAAAGTGGAAAGTTGCTTGGGCACCTGCCTGTTGTGCTAAACTGGAGCCTGCGCTACCGTGGAATTTAAAATCAAAGTCAAATGTTTTTTGTTTATTTTTCGCTGTAAGGCATTTTATAAAGGTGGAAAGTTGCTTGGGCACCTGCCTGTTGTGCTAAACTGGAGCCTGCGCTACCGTGGAATTTAAAATCAAAGTCAAATGTTTTTTGTTTATTTTTCGCTGTATTTAAATCAGTGGGAGATTTTGGGGGTCACTTCTTGCTGCATTAGGCTTGTTGTTTACTTGCTCAGGACCACCATTGGCAAGGGTCAATGCAAATCCCAGGTATCCCCATGCTTCTCCTTCCCCTCCTCTGAAATTGGGACTCTGTGACTGCCGGTGAGTGTGCTGGGCTTGCCTGTGGACCTGCAGGCACACAGGGGGGGTTATCACACAAATAGGCAACCTGGGTCATGGGCCCCAAAGCTATTGCATCCAAGATAGGACTTGCATCCACGATAGGATGCATCCAAGGTAGGACTCAGGAGGTGATCGTCCCCCTGTACTGGGCACTGGTGAGGTCCCACCTCGAGGGCTGTGTCCAGTTTTGGGCCCCTTCCCACAAAAAAGACAGTGAGGTGCTGGAGCAGGTCCAGAGAAGAGCAATGGAGCTGGTGAGGGGTCTGGAGAGTAAGTCTTGTGAGGAGAAGCTGAGGGAGCTGGGGGTGCTCAGCCTGCAGAAAAGGAGACTGAGGGGAGACCTTCTCACTCTCTCCAACTCCCTGAAAGGAGGGTGTAGCCAGGGGGGGTTGGTCTCTTCTCCCAAGTCCCAGGTGATGGGACAAGAGGGAATGGCCTCAAGTTGCACCAGGGGAGGTTCAGGTTGGATATTAGGAAAAATGTTTCCATGGAAAGGGTTAATTAAGCCTTGGAATGGGCTGCCCAGGGAAGTGGTTGAGGCCCCATCCTGGAGGTATTCAAAAGACAGGTAGACATAATGCTTACAGACATGGTTTAGTGATGTTTTTTTTTTTATCAGAGTTAGGTTGATGGTTGGACTGGATGATCTTAAAGGTCTCTTCCAACCTAGACAATTCTATGATTCTAAGATTAGATGCTTTTTATTTTGGGCTCGAGGTCGTAACTTTCGTGTTGGCAACTTTGGCAAAGTGTGAGGGTGGGTGAGAGAAATCGGAGCAGGATGCTTTTGGGTTTGTCAGATTTCTTCCGTGCCCCATCCAATGTCCATGTTGGTGCAAGGATGGGCTGTCCTGCAGGTAACGTGGTTGTCCCCAGGGGGGATTAGAGGAGAAGGGGGAATGATGAGCATGTCAGGGCAGCGTGCTTCTGGCTCCTACGCCGCCCCGTAAACACGTGGCTGAGAAATGCCTGCAGCTTAACCACAAAGCTGTTCACGTCCAGACTGGGGCTTGCTCCTTGGAGAAACACACTGCCACGTCTTCTGCCTGCCTTGGTGGCTGAAACCCAGGGGCTACTGGTGAAACGTTGGTCTGGCTTAATTCATTGGCAAAACTTCAGAGCTTCACTGGGGCATCTCCGTTTCCCGAGGGGCGGTGGGAGTTGTTTCCCAGCCTGAGAGTGCCCTCTGGTGTATGCAGGAGACAGTAAAAATTCTTAATTTATTGAAGTGGTTTAATTGGCTCCCTTCATCTCTTAATACTTTGCAGCCAGCGTGGTTAATCGTCAAAAGCTGCCAGGTGGGTGCATGCCATAAAGCACCCAGAGGTGAGCTCCAGACCAGTCCCATGTGTCTTCTGCGTTTATACACCAAGCAGCTGATGATCATTTTTTAATGATACACGCATACCAAGTAGGAGGCTTCTGGGCCCTGCTGTCTCGGGTCTGATTTCCCTCCAGCAACGCCTGGCAGGTCCCCGAAACCAGCCTGTGGCAGGTCCTGCTCCATCTGTGCCCAGGCAAGTGCTGCTCCCCCTGCCCCGGGCACTGCCTCCGGGCACTCGCCTGGGGGTCCTCGACTGAGCAGAGCAAGCAGAGCCCCTCCAGTGCTAGGCTGCATCCCAAACACCTGGCTGAATGGGGAAACCGGGCTGCAAAAAGGTAGGAGCAGCTTTTTATAAACAAGCAAAACCTAGCCCTTTTCTCCAGGGGGCAGGCAGGACATTTAGAAGAAGCAGCAGCAGCGTGAGCATGTGTTGCCATAGTTATCTGGAACTGAAAACAGGCGTAAACACAAAAGCTACAGTAAACATAAATCTTCCCCATGCGTAGAGCCCTTTCTTGGAAAAACTTTGTCATCTTATCTCTATTAGGACATTCTGGTTTGAAAAAAATACATATTTTTGAAATGCTTTCACATTTCTATTAGCAGCTGCAGTAATGAGTATGCTGGTAGGGAGCAGAGAAAAGTGTGCTCGGTGCTCCGGTGTTACAGTCTGCTGGAGGCAGGTATGGTAGGGGCTTATCAGGTTGAAGGCACCTTCTCGTGGAAGAGCATGGGAGGTGACATTTTGAGGGACGATGTCATGTATGGATCACCCTCTGCATGGCAGCAGCAGCAGCAGCATGAGCATGTGTTGCCATAGTTATCTGGAACTGAAAACAGGCGTAAACACAAAAGCTACAGTAAACATAAATCTTCCCCATGCGTAGAGCCCTTTCTTGGAAAAACTTTGTCATCTTATCTCTGTTAGGACATTCTGGTTTGAAAAAAATACATATTTTTGAAATGCTTTCACATTTCTATTAGCAGCTGCAGTAATGAGTATGCTGGTAGGGAGCAGAGAAAAGTGTGCTCACTGCTCCGGTGTTACAGCCTGCTGGAGGCAGACCCTTTCTTCTCCTCGCTCCTCAGCTGTTTTTTTTTCCCAGTTTGAGTTAGAGTACCCTCACACACTCTTGCCAGGTTATTTCCTGTTGTAACCTGTCATGAGGTGGTCCAGGCTTGCAAAGCTGCCTCCTCCTGCCCAGACCTCACACGCTCTTGCCAGGTTATTTCCTGTTGTAGTCTGTCATGAGGTGGTCCAGGCTTGCAAAGCTGCCTCCTCCTGCCCAGAGGTAGGACTGATGCCTGGATCCAGCACTTGGCATTCACCAGTGACCACTAGTGGAAGAGGAGATGGGGTTAGTCATGCTAGAGGCTGGGAAGACCCTGCTGGGGTTGGGTGCTCTTCTCCAGCTGTGTGGCAGCCGTGCTGTGATGCCTTTGTCGTTCGCTAATTAGCATCCAGGTTTTGCTCACGTTTTCTCTGCTGACCTTTCCCTTCTCTCTGTTTGTATTTTTTTTTCCTCAGGTCGAAAGCTGAGAGGAAAAGCCTTTTATTTTGTCAATGGCAAGGTGTTCTGTGAAGAAGATTTCCTGGTAAGCACACAGCTGACCCTTCTGGTGGCATGTCTCAGCCTCTCTGGCAGACACCCAGCCTCTCTGCCCAGCAGCTTTGCCCATGTTTCACGGGGCTCTAGCCCAGCATCCTGCCTGGCCCCTCTGCTCCCCCTTTACCTGGAGCCAGCCCCAGCTGTGGTGGCTACCCACACGTGGTGCTGGAAGCAACCAAGTGGAAGACCATGGCTTTGCAATGCAGAGCATGTAGTTGAAGCCGTAGCCTCTCGCGATGTCTCCTTCAAAGCGTGTCTCTGTGGCCACGCTGTGGAGACAGGTGTGAGATGAACAGCTACTGAAGAATCAGTGAGTTGAACTTCCCTTTCCAATGAACTGGTTTTGCTTGAGCATCTTAATGGATATCTTCAGGTTGCCCTCAGTGGATTTTGTATGAACGTAACTGAGCATGAAGCAACCCCATGGTCCTCTCCTTGGCTGCTGGAAGTAAAAGGCCACATACCCCCTTGCCCTTGGGCCCTCATAGATTAAGCCTTCATTGAGACTTGAAAAAGTCATATTTGCCTATTTATTGGGGAAGTCTAGTGATTTCTCTCAGAGAGAAGTGAGTTTATCTTCTCCGCTTCCATCAGTATATAGTACACAGGCTGAAAATGGAAAGATTGGTTAAATGCATCTAAATCATTTCATTTTTCCAGTTTGCATTTCCACCATTCAGGCAGGACTGAGAGGACTGAAACCTTAGACAGATGATGTGTTGTGCCTGAGGTGCCTGTCATGGGCATGACAGGCAGTTCCGTACCATTAGATCTTAGCAATAGCAGCAAGAAAGGTACTCTGGGCCAAACCTGAATGTTAGACTACCAGAGATAGAGCTGGGACAATGCCACTGGCCTTGGAGAAGCTCCAGTAGACTTGTAATGGTGTAACTGAAGGAAGAATTTGGCGTTCTAAGCCTAGATATTCAGATGTTGTGATGTGAATTTGTGATAAACAGAGATAACTTCCTGGCATGTAGATTCACATGATCAAATAAGAATGTAAGTCTTATCCTAAGTGCTTTATTTGTATGTGCCTTTATGGTATTTTCTTATATACTTAAATTTAGGACTTGAAAGTTACAGGGACTTGTACTCCTTATGAACCATGGAAGTCTGATGTCTTTATAGAATATCCTCTGCAGACCCATCCACAGCTTCATTTACTGGAAAAAAGCACTGGAAAGTTTAGCTTGTGACAGGAGTACAGAAAAAGGCCAAGCGAATAACAACCCATAATATGCTGTTGTTTATGCTCGACTAGCCTTGTGAAATTTTAAGCCAATTCTTTTTCTGTCCTTGCAGTATTCTGGTTTCCAGCAGTCAGCTGACAGGTGTTTCATTTGTGGTCATTTGATAATGGACATGGTAAGTGATAATTGCTTCAGGAGAAAATATCCCACAGCTTTTCAGAAGAATACATCAAAAGCAAAATATATTCATGTCCAGTGCTGTCTGTTATCATCTGGTAGTCTGCCTAGTGTGAGATTGGTAGCAGAGAGAAAATCCGCTAAGCCTTGTGTTGATTTTTGCGAGGAAGTGAAGCTGGCACCCTGCTGTATGCGACGCAGAGACTTTGCTCTGCCGGTTTGCAGTGCAAATTGAAAATCAGAGCCTTCAGCTCTTTCATCTCCTTTCGGGCTCCCCTGGACAGTGTATTTGTAATCCCGTCGATGCTTCCTGCTCAGAAGTGCCGTGGCTCTGCAGTGCTCCGGTGCTGTGGGGCATCAGTGCGGTTGTGCTGAGCCTGTCTTTCCTGTAGTCAAGCTGTAGCTTCCCACGTACCTTCAGGATGAAACTACTGTCTTGCTGCCTCTTTTTGTGGGTGCTGGTGCTCTGGGGAACAGGTTTCACCCAGAGCGTGTGATCCAGACCTCAGTTCAGATCCTCCCACGTCCTTAGAAGCTCTTCACTAGATGGGTGGACATCCTGCTGAAGCAGGCAGTTTCACGTTAGCCTACAACAGATACCATCCGTTCAAGGTGGGCACAGCTCAGGGGGTCAACACCAGGCAGTATTCAGTTTTGGGTGGTTCAGAGGGAGATGAATTCATGGTCATGTAGCTGGCGGTGTGAAAATACAGCTGGGGCAAAGAAATCAGGAATTTCTGGGTGGTCAGTTCACACAGAGCACACCTCCCAAGATTTCCTTATCGTTAATTATCTTACAGTGGAAAGTGTTAAAGTTGGAAAATCTACTTTATACTCAGAAGTGTGATCACCTGGCTGATGGACCGTGATATTCCAGGTAGTAATAGCTGCCCCAAAGCCAGCAGGTGAATTGCAACTGTTGAGTTCAATACACTTTCCGTAGTCTGTGTTAATTGGAAAGCCAGGCTAGTGGGTACAGAGCTCTTACATATCTAAGGCATTACGAAAACTTAGCAATAGTATTTGTTTCAGCCTCTCATGGAGAATATAAAGATGTATTTCCTTTTGTTGGCTTGCTATGTCTTGCCCTGTGATCCTGCTTAGTATTCTCCACCTGTTGGCTTCAGAAATTATTTTCTTTCCTTTAAATTCTGTCACTTCTATCTTTTGTAATGCTAAATACCTTGACTGAGACTCTAAATTGTTTTTTTGCCCACGCTAATAACTAATTTCACTGGAAGCAGGTGATATGTATTGATTCCAGCTGCCCTTTCCATCCCTGTTAACTCATTTTTCAGATGAGGTGCCTGAAAAAAAGAAACAGCCCTGCTGATGAGTATGCAGCGTTGTCTGATGTGAAGCTGTGTGTTTATTATTTTCACCTTTACTGGCTGTTCACGTGCGTTTTTCCTGTCTCTTGGTTTGTTGCAGATCCTGCAGGCTCTAGGGAAATCATATCATCCAGGCTGCTTCCGATGTGTGGTCTGCAATGACTGTCTGGATGGTGTGCCATTCACTGTAGACTCTGAAAACAAAATCTACTGTGTCAGAGACTACCACAAGTAAGGACAAAATAAACAGCAGAGATGGAATAGACTGCCCAGGGAGGTGGTTGAGTCACCATCCCTGGCTGTGTTTAAGAACCGTTTAGATGTGGTGTTGGGGGATATGGTGTAGGGGAGAACTTTAGAGTAGGGTAGATGGTTGGACTTGATGATCCCGAGGGTCTCTTCCAGCCTAGATGATTCTGTGATTCTGTGATGTTCCAATCAACCAGCCTGTAATTTAGCTTCTGGGCTAATTAGGAAGTGCAGATTAGCAAAATAGGGACCGGGTTAGAAGCTAGAAGTTTAAGGGTGGGCCTAGGCCCTAGAAATTCTTGATGTCTCTCCTTTTGCCCTGCCGTAGACTTGTGTGTAACTTTGAGGAAGTGAGTTAATCCCTGGGCTTCAGCTGCCCCTTCTGCAGAGCAGATATAGTGAGAAATAGCGCTCGGGAAGCGTTCAGTGATGCAAGTAGTTAGTCCTCTCTAAAGCAAGACTGTGAATGCCTGTTGAAATGAATGTGAGTTGCTTTTTGAGTAGTTGTGGGACTGAGTTCGACTTTTCAAGAATGGTTTTGGAAATCCCCACTGAACGTGTGAAGTGAAACTCTTATCCAGCTCTCACTTAAACAACCGATAAATCCCCTTAAAAAATCACTTGTCATTTAGACAGTAAAATAGAATGGCTGTGCTCCTTGCTGTTTGTGATATTAGAGCTGCACACATTCTGAGCGTCCATCTGGCTTGGTTTGCTCCTTGCTCAGTTTTCTGAGCAGGCAGAGTATGAAGTGTTGTTCAGGCAGCCCCTGGAACTGTTCCGTGTTGTGCCAAGATTAGGGTTGTTCTGAAATGATGCATACTTCCTTGCGATTTAATTTAATTTAAGTATTTATTTATCGTGTTACGTTGCGTTCTAAGGCCTTAAGGAACAGTACAGTCATGCGGTATTTTCTCTGAGGTTTCCTGCCTCAAGGCTGCCCCTTCTTTTGATGTGTTTTTCTGGGGATGCTCCTGCTCAGTTTCTCCTCATTCTCTCTTCCAAATCTCTCAGGAGCAGCCAAGAATTTTTCAGTGGGTTTTGGATTTTTTTCTGACACAGAGTGTAAGACGTAAGGTCTCTTTTTGCCTGGTTGAGCAACATGTATCAAGCATTTCTTACAATCAATGCTAAAATGAGTTAATGATCTCAGGATGCAAAGCTTTCCTGTGGGTAAGTTATTTACAGCTGCATCTTTTCATCTTATCGCCAAGAACACGCAGGCCTCTATTTTTATGTTGATCTCTAACTTGCCTTCATTTTCTCCTTGCTCTTCCAGAGTTTTAGCTCCAAAGTGTGCAGCGTGTGGACTTCCCATTCTGCCCTCCGAGGTGAGAGCCTTTTATTTCATACCCACTCTGGGGAGGGAGCGTCGTGTCTCTGCTCTTGCTGACTTTCACACTTGACCCTGTGTCAAGTCGGATGTCCTTGGGGATGGGGAGAGATGATCACTTCCTCCAGCCTGCAACCTTTTGACCATACGCTGCCCTTGAGATGTGACCCTTCTTTTGCTCAATAATGAAGGTTATTTCTGCTGAGCCAGGCTGCTTTTTTTTCACCTCCTGCAGGGTTATACTGCTGTCAGCTTTATGTTCAGGGCACCTTTCCTTCATGGCAGTAAATGCTGGTGGTGCTCGTGAATGACCTCTGAGTGCCCCTCTGGGACTAACTCATTTTAATACTTGGAGGAGATGTGTCTTGGGAAAAACCAATCTGAGATGCTGAGAAATGTGATATATTGAAATTACCAAATCGTTAATGGATGACTTGGGATAGATGCAGCTGTAAAACATGGATAATTTAACATTTCTGATGTTACATTTCAGAGGATACCTGCAGTCAGTGATGAAGCTTTACTGTAAAAATAGCTGCAGGTGGCAGGATTTATTTGTGGTGTCCAGCCAGCAGCTCAAATGCATTTCCTCAATATTCACATTGTTGCACGAAGCAATCTACAGAGTGCACGTGTCTGATCCTGCTGTAATCCTTTGCAATTTCTCTTTTGCTTGAATGCTTACAGGGGTCTGATGAGACCATCCGGGTTGTGTCCATGGACAAAGATTACCATGTGGAATGTTACCACTGTGAGGTGGGTCAGCAGCTTTTTCGGGGAGTAATAATGATAACTACTATTATTTTTAAGGTGGAAATAAATCTTGTCCCTTTCCCGTGGCTGTAGATGAGCCATTCAAACCTTGCATTCTGCGACCCTTTCTATCAGTGGGTGAGAAGTTTCCAGTTGGAGGAGAAAAGTTTTTCCACCAGTTTGTCTCAGCTGTGATTTCATTTGCTTCCATAAAGTTATGGGCAAAGAGTTAGTTATCACTTTTAAATTTGGCAGTTTATTTGTTAATGAAGGAGCCGTGGTGACTCACTAAGGTTCTGTTGCTCCCTTTCAGAGCCTTGATCTCCAGATCACATTAGTGTATCTGATTTCCAAGTCAGATTGTTCAAAAATGCTAAGGTGGTGACTGATACTGTCCGGTGTAAGTTACCTTCACTCTCATGGGAAATAAATGTGTGGTCAGGCCTGGGGAGAAGATATGGTTGCATAAAAAATACCAAGAGATGCCAGCTCTTAAACACCGTTTGCTCCCCATGCAGGGTTTCCCAGAGAGCCTGCATACTTCTGCTCTGTGAATTAAGATAAATAGATGTCTTCTCTTACTGTGGTCTTTCCACTGTGGTGGAAAGAGCCTTGACTCAGCAGGCTGGGTTCACGAGGTACGACTGCAATTAATTTAACATGAAGAGATGAGCCCTACCTGTGAGTGTAAGGAAACACGGGCATGTTTAAAATACACAGGGTTACACCTCGCCACAAGGTAAAGCTTCTTCAATAAAACTGCTCAAGGCAAACTTCTGCAAGGCTGCATAACCTCCAGATGCCTATGTCGGGTGCTTTCTTTCTCGTGGTAAATGTTGGACTTACTAGGAGGGAGCTGTTGGCTGGTTGTCTTCTGCCCTTGTCACAAAATGACCCTCCTGGAAGCCAGAGGCCGGTTGGCCCTGGAAGATGAACATGTGCTCTAATAATTGGCGTGGCCTCTCTTTGCAGGACTGTGGGATGGAACTCAACGACGAAGACGGGCATCGCTGTTACCCGCTAGATGAACATTTGCTCTGTCACTCCTGTCACCTGAAGCACATAGAGAACGGCACAACCCCAGCAGCTGTGTACCAGCACCACTACTAGGCAGCATGGCCGAGGTGGGGGACCCAGGAGAGAAGACTCGTTACGAGATCTCCCTCTCCCCAGCCCCAGTTGATTTCCTGTGCGTGTTTTTCACCGGTCGGCAATGTTCCTGTGAAAGGATATGAGAGTTTTTTGCTGGATTCCCCGAGTTTGTATGCTTGTGAGCTCCAGCTCTATCAAACCAGATCTACCTGACCAAGAATGTGGCATGTTATCTAAAGTGATCGGTTTACTTTTACGTGCCTTTTTCTGCTCTCTGGAGATTCCTCATGGCTCATTTTGGAAGATTCTTCAGTGAAAGCACAATTTGCTGTCGTGCCTATGAACTCAGACCATGCACAATTAAAAAGCCAGAGGCTGGCTTGCCTGCCTGCCTGCCTGCTGGGGACATCCCGTCAGCCTGCTAAGTGTTTCCTGACAAGCACATTTCATCAGATTCCCTGAAGGACATCAACCTATTAATGCGAGTTTTTTAGACACTCTCACTCTTTTTATTAGTTTTTTAGGAAAAGAACAGAAAGAGGTCTATGCAAAACGGACTTTCCAGTTAATTCTCCAAACTCTGGTGTCAAGTCTGGCTGTAAAATGCACCAACTCTCCGAGCACAAACCGGGCGTGCTGGCTGGCAGCTGGAGGCTGACATCCCATATCAAACGGAACAAAAAACTGGAACTAGGTTAAAATACTGTGTAGACTGGGGGCCTGGGCTTGCGTATCAGCTTGATACACCGTGGGGCCAGTCTGCTGTATCAGAGTCTGGATAGTGGATTATATTTGGAAAGGAAAGGTCAGGATGCTGGAAGTGTGGACACGGGGAAATCAGCCTCGTCCTTGCTTGCAGAGCTCACTTTGGAAAAAAAAGCTCTCCCTACACAGACACTTGCCTGAGTTTTCCAGCTTGTCCCCACGGCTCAGCCCCTAGCCTGGCCACTCCTTTCCATGGTGTTTACCCAGCACAAAGCCATTTCATAATGGTGCTTATTTAGAGCTCTGGGAACAAACTCGTTATCGTTATGAAGGCTTTGTTACACAGGGATTTGGAGCTCGGCTCCACAACCTGTAACTCAAATGAGTATGTTGGTATAAACAGATTTGCTCCCATGGATAATAACAGCTTATCCCAGAATGGAGTTACTGAGTTTGGCCCTTGCTTTGTGTTCTGCTGAGAAAGGCAGATCCTTTCTCTTTTTGAACCCCCCCCTGCTTTATAGTCAAAGAAATCTCCCCCAGTAGGTGTTACATACAAGATAGATGTGCCTGCAGTGTATGTTCTATGGGTACCAAAGCTGTGCAGCCCCTCGTGTACAGGTACAAAATGTTTGTCTAAGAAGAAGCTTTTAATTTAACGTCTCAGATGCAATCAGGGATCTTAGCTACCCGTTCTTACATACAGTGTGGAAAACAAGTTAAATCCTATTGTATCCATGCTAAGGATGTAAATTTCTGATTGATAGGGGGACAGGATGACATTCTTGAAGATCTTTTTAGCAAGGAAACTACATTAAATTAGCCCAGCAGTGGTGCTGGGACTCCTGTTATGAGCCTGTGCTGAGGACCCACTATGGTTCAACCAGACCTCTTTTTCCCAGACCATGGATGTAGCTGGAGAGGTGCTTGAACTTCACACCATGTAGCTGGACTGCCTCGTGTACCTGTCTGGAGCAATACAGGTGTGAGGTGCAGCCTGGCTCTGCCTGGGCTGATAAATACCACGGGACTCCACTCTTGAATGGTGCAAGTTGCTGTGCGAAGTATTAAACAGCAGCACAGATGTACAAACATCTGCTGTAAAACAGATGGAGACCAGTGGCCTGTTGGCACCCTCCTGCACATCTGTATCAGCTTGCCTTGTCTGAAATGTGACCATCTGAAACTGCCTGGGGAGCTTGGTGGAATTGGCACGGAGTTTCATCGGTCCAGCAGACCATCCCGCCTTCTGGCCCATCAGGCCTTAAGTGTGTCTGTCTGCTGCTGCTGGGATGGGGATGGTGGCACACGGCTGGAGGGCAGTCCTACACTGGAAACCATCCAGAGCCCCAGTTTTGGTGTAGTTTGGCTCTGTGACACCGTTTCTCCTGGGGACATGCAACCCCTCAGTGAGTGACCGAAAGCTTGAGAGGGGGCACTTTCCTGCTGCAGTGTGCATGGCTCTGAGGCACGTGTATCTTCAGAGGGTTTTACCTGTGATTTTAGAGGAGGTAAAATTGGCCCCAAATATGTGAGCTCCCTGGAGCCTTCAGTTTGGCCTCCAGATGCTGGATAGCGAAGGGATGGGAAGGAACCAACACAAGATTAATGTGCCCAGAGGAGCTGTGGCTGCCCCATCCCTGGAGGGGTTCAAGGCCAGGCTGGATGGGGCTTTGAGCAACCTGGTCTGGTGGGAGGTGTCCCTGCCCATGGCAGGGGGGTTGGAACTCCATGATCTTTAAGGTCCCTTCCAACTCTAACCATGCTGTGATTCTGTGATTAATAACTGGTGCTGTATCTAGGCAATATGGACTGGTGGCAGCAGAGCACCCAGGGCAGATCCTGCAGGGCCATGTCAGCTGGGCACGCAGCTGGGCATGGGGTGGGAGGGTGTCTGAAGATGCAACTGTGATCTCAAGAGTGTCTAACGGGACTGAGATGGGAGATAATGCCAGCTGAGTGTTGCTGGTGAATAATTCACATAGTCCTGGGCGAGCGGTTCCCCTCCCTGAGTTTCCTTTGGCAGGGAAGGCAGTGAGATATCAAAGAGGCTTCTGGAAATGAGCTGGAAACACCAGCCCTGGTCTATTATTCTGTCTCTGGGAGACTGGCTACCACATGGGTCATGCTTTTGCTAGCTCTTGATTTTAGAGCAGCCCCTCATGCCCATTTTCTGGCCTCCGTTTTGGGAAACGAGCTGAAAACACTAGTGGGGCTGATATTTTCCTTTTAATATGGGGTGTTAGCTACCGTCTCACTCTTGGAGCCTTCCCCACAACCCCAGAATAATCAGGCAAGAAGGGGAGGGGGAGAAGGACAGCTTTCCTGCGTGGAAAGCCTGGAGCAGCCCGTTTGCAGCAAGCTGTCTTGCAGGAGCCTCCTTTGCATCAACGGAAAGTTTGGCCGCTGCTCCCACACGGTGTCTTGTTACTGGTGTCATCCATCCCGCGTCCCTCAGCGCCGGGGAAATGAAGGCTGCCCTACTTTCAGTGTTGAGGTCCCGTATGAATTATTGAGTGCCCACGTTCTCCTTTCCTCTGTTCGTGACAAGCTGGAAGCGACAACGTGAAGCTGTTGAAAACGAAGCGCCGTTGAGTTTGTGGTTTTGAAGCTGCAGCGTCTGCTGCGTCGCCCTGCTCCGCTGTGTGTCCTGGCTTGCACTGCTTTTATCTTTGGGAGCTTGAATTCTTTTAAGCTTGTTTGTTATTTCTCCTAGGTTGTGGGTGTCTGAGTCCCGGCTGATTGTCCCCAGCCCTGGCGGTGGGTGCGGGATGGGGGGGGTGGTGGGAGCATCCCGCACATGAGAGGCTTCTCCTCCTCTTGGCCCCCCACCAGGCACCCCTGGAGCTGCAGACCCTCACTGCCTGCCTTCAGGCAGCTCCCCCAAAGAGGGAAAACAGGCCAGCTGGAAGCTCTGGAGGTGAATTGCAGAAAATGTGCTAAATTCTGCCTGTCAGCTGGCTGATATGCTCTGGGTTTTGCTTGAACCTTGTTATCTTTTTATTTATTAAGATGCTGAGAACAAGAATTAGCCGTAATTCCTCCCCCAGTGTGCTCTTCTGACTGGTTTTAGGGTAAGGGACCCTTGGAAGTCCCGTTGTGCTGGTAACGAGTGACTCACATGCAAATATTCAAATGAATTCCCTGAAACTTGCTTTCAGGATCGAGAGTTTAATAGGTATTTTCATCCAGATCGTGCTGTTAAATTTCTATTGTTTAAAATACTGAAGCTCATTTAAATAGGGATTTTTGCATAAAAGCCAGGGGGGAAAGCCCCAGCTGTAGAAGCAGCAGCCATTTTTGTGTAATTTAAAGTGTAAGAAACCCCTGTGATCAAAGTGATTTAGGAAACTGTGTGGACGCTAAACACAGTGAACAGTATTTTCAGACAACCTGGTGAGGAGCGTTTGATGAGGTCTGTGGCTTTTCCGTTTCTGAGTTTAGAATGTTTTCCCAGTCTTTTCAGGGTTTAAATGACTTTTTTTGAAGATCTTTTTTGCTACGAAGCGAATAGCTCCTTGGTCTCGAAATGGTGGAGTCTCATCAGCATCAGGTGTGCTATGGCAGATGTGAAAGGGGGGAACTGGGCTCGCAAGAGCTGGTACAGGTTTGGCTGGCCCTCAAAAGGAAGGGCTTCTCGTTTAAAGGAAAATGGACACACACTCTTCATCCTTGCTTGAAGGCTTTGACCTGATCCCCCAAATTATCTGGATATCATCAGCCTGGTGCTGGTCGATGGAGTGGCAGCTTTGTACTCCTCTGCTAAGAAAATGGCCTGAAGGACTTCAACTGCATTAAACTGTGACGTGCACGGGCAGGCAGCCCCGTGAAACCAACAAGGCTCCCCACGTACAGGAAAATCCATGTGTGTGCGTAGTTCAGTGTTGGATCGAGGGCAGAGTGATTTTATTTCAGAGGAGACGTCCCCGAGGACGAGCCACTGGTCTGGATGCTGTGCTTCTCCCACGTCAGCCTCGGCTGCCCTGCTCTGTGTCTGCTCTTGGCATCGTGTGTGCTGTCAGCTCCTGGACGTGCTGCCTGCGAGGGACCTGCCTTTCACACCTCTCTGCCCATGCCACCTCTTTGTAGGGGCAGTTTGAGCAACCTTCTGCCTGTGAGCGTGAGGACAAATTGACCCAGCAATAATGCTGGAGAAACACCTCTGGAGTCAGTACCTATGGCCAGGGAAAGACTGTGGCCAGATACACGTCTCTTTCCCCCCCATCCTCCGAAGCTGAGTGCCTGCATCACTGGGAGAAGCTGGGAGAAGGTTTGACTCTCATCACACTGCATTTGTGCATTTATTTTTCTTTTCCTTTTCTGCGTCCTGCCACTCACTGGCTGCAGTGGCACTAGGTCTCCTTACTGGAGATGATGAGGCAGATGTCTTCTTGTCGTGAGCCCAGACAGAGCCCAGAGCTGCTCCCCCATCCTAAGGAAAAGCGAAATAAGGCTTTTCTGAGCCATAAGAATCCTCACCCTGCTTTCTCCCAGGGCAGCCAGAAGCTCACGTGGCAACATGCATTGGTAGCCTGCTAAAAAGGAGAAGAAAGCGGGAAGAAACTGTCCCCAGGTGAAAATAGGTGGTGTAGAGCCCCCGAAGGCAGAGGACAGGGATGGATGTCCCCCCCTGGCCCCGGAGCTGCATCTCCCAGCCCTGCTGTCACCCACCCTGGTCCCCGCGCAGCAGCAGGTCTGCGGTGCACGGCCCCACGGGGACCCGGGCACACACACACATATAGGCTGTGGGTGGATTTCTGTATCCCAAAAGCAAATCCTGAGCCTGGCTAACGATAACCGAACGGTACTAATTACTTTTTTTTTTTTTTTAATGTTTCCTTCAAAGCTCAACTCCAGGAGAGGGGTATTTTAGGATTTGTGCTGGTGTAACTAACCGTAGCCACCTGTGAACACAGCCCTCTTTTCTTCCGTGCTGTTAAATATTTATAAAGAGTGAAGGCTGGCAGAGGGGGTGAAGCCGCTGGCCTGTTGTGATTTCAGTGATTAAAGACAATACTGTAAAGCAGTGCTCAGTGTCAAGTCTTTCTTAAAATGACAATGGTTGTCATCACGGGGAGGGACTCGCACTGTGAAGTGATGATTTCCCAACATCTGCCTTCCTCCTCTCCACCCCCTCCACTACCCCAGCAGCTGAAGCAGGGACTGGTGGAGGGAAACCTTCTTTGTGGGGCTTCACTGGGGATGTCCAGTCCTTCATGGTCAGCTGGGATTTGATGTGGCCCCACCTGAGGCCATCCTGCTCCCGTGTCCCTCCGGGGAGACCCTGGGAAGTGATCTGGGTGGGAGCAGTCTCTGGTCCCAGCACGGGGGTCTCCTTTGCAGTGTTGGGTGTTAGGGTTTGAAGAACCCACAACAATTTATTGCCATTAAAATGATTATTCTATCAATCACCTGATGACACCTCCCTACCCAGGAAGGGGTATTGGGAGAAACAAGGAAACCCAAGGATTGAAACAAACAGATGTAATAGAATAAGACTAGATAATTAATAGCACTAAAGAGCCAATATTGATCCCAATCCCAATATAAAATATACAAGGGTTATAGTCATTCCATGCTGTCAGCAGGAAGCTGTGCACTCCCAGCAGGGACAGCAAATGTTGGACACTGTGAGCACTACGGCCTCGGGAGGAGGGGAAGGACTCAGGGGTCTGGCACTGGGGCAAGGAGTTCTCAGGATCACAGCCATCATGGAAGAGAAAAAACACCTCAGCAAACTTTCTAATTTATATAGAATGTGACTGAAATAATATAGAAATGGTCTGAAGTTGGGGCAGGGGAGGTTTAGATTAGATATTAGGAAGAATTACTTTACTGAGAGGATGGTCAGGCACTGGAACAGCCTGCCCAGGGAGGTGGTGGAGTCACCATCCCTGGAGGTATATAAAAAACATGTAGACATGGCACTTCAGGGCACGCTCTAGTGCCCAAGACTGTTGGTTTGTGTCTGTGGAGGGGTTTTTTGTTTGTTTGTTTTTGTTTGTTTGTTTGGGGTTTTTCGTTTTTTGTTTTTTTTTTTTGTGGTTGGACTTGATGATCTCAAAGGCCCCTTCCAACCATGAAGATTCTGTGATTCTGTGATCTGGAGAAAAATGTCTCACAGAAGCAGGAACAAATTTAACTGTTGTAGAAGCAGGAGATTATAATTATTGTTTCACTGCTGTGGGTGAACACGAGGCCTCCTTTCTGAGGACGGGACGCCGAAGCGCTTGCTGGCTGAGCAGCACCACAGCAGCACGGGGCTACAAGCTAAAACGAAGCGAATAAATAACCATTACTTGGAATTATACTTTGGGGTTCCCCCTTCTTGAGGCAAGAAGCTGCCCAAAACTGGAGGATGATGCCCTAGAGGGCTGGATCCAGCGGGAAACTGGCCATGAGTTGCCCCTAGACCTGCTCACTGCCGACCACCAGGGCTGGGCTCAGAGCCCAGGCGGGGCTGCTGCAGAACAGGAGGGGAAAAAAAAAAAACAAAAAGAAGGGGCAAGAAGGGTAAACCAGAAAAAAAAGAGCAGCCGAGCCAGCCAGGAGTCGAACCTAGAATCTTCTGATCCGTAGTCAGACGCGTTATCCATTGCGCCACTGGCCCTGCTCGAAACACAGCTCCTGCCCGCCTGCACTTCACCACAGAGGCGGCGCGAGGGCCGGGCCGCCGCGCGCACGGCAGCCAATCCAAAGCAAACATCCCCCCACCCCACCCCGACACCCCTCCCAGCGCTCGCGGTGGGCGTGGCTTACCGCCCCACCCGCGCACCGGCCAATCCCCACCGCCTTCGTCACAACACCTCCCTTCGGCGGGCGAGGGGCGGGGCCTAGAGCGGGGCGGCTCAGCCAATCGCGGGGCCGCAGAGTCGGCCCAGGCCCGCCCCCCGCCTACTTAGGCGTTCCCCACCCTGTGGCGCCCTCTAACGTGCCCGAGTAGGTTTGTCCCGCGCGGGCTCCCGTCCCTTAAGGCCGTGAGGGGGGAGCGGCCGGGCCGGAGGGGGCGAGAGCGGAGCCGGCGGTGGCGGCGGCCGGAGACAGCCGGAGGGGGACGAATGGCGGCGGCGGCGGCAGGAACGGCGGCAGCGGCGGCCTACGCCAGCCTGAAGTTGTGAGTGACCCGCCGGGA